ATTATTTTGAAAGAAATCCATCAAAAGTTAGTATTTCTTTACTACTTTTGTAAATATATAGTATTTGCAGACCCATTTCAGACATTCAGTGCTAATAAAGTTTAAGGGAAGAATGTTGAAAAAAGAAAGTTGCTGTTAACTATATACAGTACATATATACTGGAGAAATGCTTTGATCAGCTATCAGTGGAGTCCAGGCATCAGCTGTTTCATTCATGCTTCACATCACTGACTCATTCACAGCTGTGTGACTCAGCTGACTAGTAACGTCCAGTCATATTCATGCAGGCGAACAGCTCGGCCATTAAAACCTGACTCTTCTCACTGTTACTCTGATGCCAGGCCTGCTTGCTGCTGCAGCTCCTTCCACCATATGTGCTATATCTTTGCATTAACTAAAATGTAATGTTCTTGTATGTGTTTGTCAAGGTGGGATTCATTCTCTCAGCAGAATCCTCAATGCTGCTCGCACTGATTGAGAGCTCCCTCAAAGAGCTGCAGCCCTTTTTAGCAAATCTAACTCTATTAACATTTGCGAAAAATGACCAGCTCTTTTACTTAAGTAATATTTCAGCAAATACTGACCATTTCTTTCAAAACTGTTTTTTACTTATACTGTACTGACTATGAAAAAAAAAGTCATATTACAGGGTTGTAAAATGAAATGTAGTTTGCAAACTCCCTTCTGCTACATAGGTGACAATTTACAGTTTAACAATCATAAAATGGTAAACAGAAATAAACAAAATTTTTCATGGTGCAGCGCTGGGGATGAATTTGAATTAGAATTTAGTCTCATAGCCTGGGGGAAAAAGCTGCTCTGCTGTCTGGTGATTTGACGGCAGATACTTCCTTCTCATACACCTGAACACGAGATGTGTTGGTGTTATACATGCTAATGATAAGCAACTAAAGTAGATCAATACTCCATCAGTCTTAGTTTAACACACACACACACACACACACACACACACACACACACACACACACAATTGACATACTTATTAGGACACATAAAATTTGTTTAATTTGTCAAGGAATATAGGTTAAATAGTAAAGTTTGTGTGTGTTTGTGAGTGTGTATGACAGACACTAAAAGGTCAAACCAACTACAGTGACATCTAATGAAGTTCAGTTTAGTGTCAAAAAGGTCACTGGGTCCAAGGTTAAATGCATCTTTAAAATGCTTTTTCTAAAGTTACCCCTTGTTAGTCCTTATTAAGTGTAACAACACAAGACATAGTAAGCCAGCTAATAAGTTATTACCTACTAGTCCTACAGAAAGAAGGCCAGCTCAGCATCCTTTCAGCTCTTTTAGTGCACGCCAACAAGTAAAAGACAGTCCGATATTTACTCTTGTCTCGGTCACTATCTCTTTTTCTCTTCCTCTCTTTTTCCCACTACGTCTTCTTCAATATCTTTACAGCCTCTGCCGTGATAATACTTGCCAAGACATTGCTCCCGTTTTGGGTTAAAGACCGAGCAAGAGTGACCGTACAAGAGTCAATATGGGACCGGCTCAACTCAAAGTTGTCAGCATGTTTTTTTATTTTTGATTGTAAGGTAATCCTAAAAAATGTATGTGCTGTCCTTATTTACAACAGCAGTGAATTACACTCCAAAACCAAAAAAACACCCACTATATCTTACATTAGGTTGCTTTAATTGTTCACTCAAGATCTTACTCACATTTTTTTGTATCACATTGTATATGTTATTAAATATTATGTATTCAAATAAAAGAACATTTATAAGAATTATGACACTTTGCTGTGTTATTGGCCTAAATCCACCTGGAGAAAAACATTTTGATTTAAACATTATAATAAATTGCCTTTCTTTCATCCCTGCCCTGAGGAACACCTCTCCAGAGAGTTTTCTGTCATACTCTTTAAGTTAAAGGACAAAGGCAGGCAAACGACAAATCCTCCACTTCCCTCCTCTCCCTCCACCCCCCATCTGATTCCCATCCCGCTGCCGGAGTTTGTTTGAAGAGTCCTCTCGCTGTGGAAAATTATTTCTCCTTGCCATATTTTCATATCTGCTTCATTAGTGAGATGGTAAAAAAATCCAACAACTAATGGATGTATCCCTTCATCCCTGGCGCATGCTGTACACATTTTTTTGCGAAGTTGGCACCGTGATTTATTTTATTTGATTATTTAATTCCTTCCAAACGTGGTTTTATGAGACAAGCAGCAACGGAGACTGAGCTTTCAATTCTTCTCCGCTGACTTTATTAGTTTAGTTATGTTTGTTTGGAGCTCAGTTCACACTTCACAGTAATAAAAACACAGGAGAGGCACAGGAGGCGTTTGGCAGGATAGCAGCCCTGTGGTTTGATTGATTCAGATTACATTTTTGTCTTTTTCAGAAGCCATGAGCGGAACAGCCATTAGAGCACTTGCACATTCAAACATGTTCAACAGTATGGTCCAAAATGTGTCTGTGCCCATGTCTGTGGTTGTGTCTTCAGGAAAGCCGTCAATCCAACTTCCAACACAGATGCATGGATAGAGAGGATAAGGTTTGATGCAGCAATCAGTCTGCACGGCTCTTTAGGAGCAGTGAAAGAAATTCTGCTTTGCTGAGCAGCTTCTTGTAGCTCTTCTGTCTCTGACCCCAGGCTCAGTCCCGCCATAACTTTCCTCGTTACAGCCGTAATGGGCCAATCAACACCGTGCTGGGCCAAAGGCACACTCTTCTAGTCCTCACAGCTTTACACCTCTGTAGAGCTCACTCCCCTCTTTATCTGTAATCACCGCTCCTTATTTCTTACCCACACTTCATGTCTGTCTCTAATATTCTTTTCTCTCTCCCTCTTTTTCACTTGTTCCTTTCCTTCCACCATTTCCCATTAGATTGTCACTGCATGTTTATATGAGGGAGTCAATATATATGTCTGTGCATGGAGGTGACCTCTTGAGCACATTTAAAATTAATGACAGATTGTGTATGTACTGTATCATAGAGAGTCAATTATTGTTTGATGTTTGTATGTGTATGCCTGTTAGGAACTACATTGTATGTCTATGTGTCACAGAACATGTGCATGGAAGGTGTTTTGTGACAATATGAGCTATACAAATCAGTATGCTGTGTGAACCAACTCTTCACTTGCTGAAGCCTATGTACTCTTGGTTCATGTATGTATCCATATCGCTGACTAATTTATGTGGTTTTTATGATTTCAGATCTGTCATTTAAGAAGATTATTCAACCTCTTGGCCCAATGAAACTCTTTAATGTTGTAAAAAGATAGATTGTGATTGACCTCAAAAGAAGGCTGTTTTTCTTAATTTCTGACTCAATTCTGAAATAATTCTTCTGAACTAACATTTATCTGAACACAAGCAATACTTGAGATATACCACCTGCTTGAATCAAGTCATTGTGTATGGTGTCATTACACAGATTCACTCACTCATAGACATTTTTAAGCTATTTGCTTTGACGCTGCAGTTCAAACAGCTCTATGTCACACATAAAGGAAAAAAGACTGATTAGGGCCTCTTCTAGCTGCAGTGTGAACACATTACCAAGAGCACAAACCACTGAGCTAACAAGCTCACATTCGAGATTTCAATATGAAGTTACCGCAAATGTCTTGTTAAAGCTAGAGTGTGGAAGTTTTACATATAAGCAAACATCCGTTACATTAAAGCCATGCCAAATGAGTTCACACAATCTTAGGAAACCTGTCACCACAAGGTAAATCTCTGTATTCACAAAATACCAGATAAAAAAAAAAATCTGGTGTCTGTGGTGACATTCCCATGCTGGCATACCGGTAGTGATGTGTTTAATGCCAACAGCAATGATTGGTTTGCCAGAGCTGAAGGGGAGAGCGAGTGTAGCAGAGGCAGAGTTGGTCCTAAGCACATGCGATAATCATTCTCACTGTCAGAAGGGGGAGACAAAAGTTCCGTAGTGAAGGCTTACTATGAAAGATTTTTTTAATATTAAGTTTTTACCCTGTTGCATTTATGTTTTGTTTGCAAAAATGCACTATAGTTAGATCAGTTATTAATAATGTGATCTGATCGAGTATGTGTGTGTGCGTATAGGTGTTTGTGTGTCTCTGGCTCCCTTTTTTTGGGACAAATGGGTTGCACTAAATGTGTATGGAAGGTGAGGTAGAGAGGATCAATAATGGTGATGAGAGTCGTGCCAACAAACACATCGTTTTAATCACCCTGGACCATAAAACCACACCAACTCACAGTCCTGCCACTCTGTGTGTGTGTGTGTGTGTGTTAGTCTGCGGATGGATATGCAGATGTCAGCACTTGTGTTTATTTATACATTATTCATGAAAACTTTCAACCCAACAACACACCTTCCTCTTATGTATTGTTCATACGAAAGGCGAGTTTGCAGGATGTAATGTGGGAATCAGAGACATCTTTCTTGGCAGTTCAGACAGTACAGATTCTATCGAGACAGAATATGGCAGTGTGTTTGAAACTCCACCAGGTAAATTATAATCTGGCTGCAGGCTGGTGCCAGCAAAGGAAGGGCAAAAGGTTAGGAAGACCATTAAAGCTACTTTCTGGATTAGAATTCAGCATCAGTACACAAGAATATGTTCCAAAGGACAATTTGCAGGAAAGGGATAGCTCAAGCCAAAACACTGAACATCATTAATTCAGCACTAGATTTATGGTTTAAAATGCAAAAAAGACTGCACACCCTGCGTCTATAAATCAAGGAGTGACCTTCAGAAATTGTCTGTAGTGACTTGAGGGGTGTACCTTCTCAAATATGTGGTAACTGCTTGTGGTGATAAAATAATCTTGAACATCCACTTCCTAGCTATATCGGAGTAAAAACCTTTGAGTTGAGATTATTTTGTCACACAAACGTTTATCCAAGGTCAAAAATAAACATCTATGAATGAATTTACTTTTTTGAACAACTTTTGATGCAGATGAATGCTTTGTATTCAAAATAATCAGCCCACAAATCTTGTTTCATCTTGTTCCATTTGTTTCCTCCAGGATCCCTGCAGGGAGAACACCAGCGGAGGCTGTACAAGGAGCTGCTGGCTAACTACAACCGACTGGAGAGGCCTGTGGTCAATGACTCAGCTGCCATCCTGGTGGAGCTGGGCCTCACACTGCTGCAGATCATAGATGTGGTGAGCATTCACTTGGATTCTTTATATCTTTATATGTGTTTGTGACATGGTGTTCAGTTTGGGCAGTGCAGAAGTGCATTGTTCAATGGAAACCTCAAGTATAATTGTGCCACTGTACTGGTGACTTGCATAATTTACACTGTACATTGAGTATCACATTCAGGGACAGATTACGTGACTTGACTGTAAAAGTAGCTACACTATCATCGCACCACTAACTAGGAGTGTTGGAGTCAGAATTACAGTTTTTTTTAAACGTCTTGTCTGAATGTGGATGGGAACTTTTTTATTTAATTGTCCAAACAGTAGATGATGAGAGCTATTATACCGGTTTAGTGTTTTAGGCTGATGTGTGTGTGTTTGAAGCTGTGGTTATCCCTGGAATAAGTAACAGCAGCAGGTTTTTGCTTGTTGAACAGTGTTAAATGTTGGTGGATGTAATGGACATCTGCTGTGTGACTTCTGGACTGGGACACATAATTATTCCAGCTGAGGACTTTCATACATCGTTAGTGTTCCCTTGATGACTTTCTACTTGAGAATCTACTGGCTGAAATCTTACCTGAAAGAGGTGGTATTATGCTTTTTGGTTTTTCCCCTCTCCTTCATTGAGTTATATATATAGCCTATCTTTTTTGTGTATGTAAAAGGTTTGCAAAGTGAAAAAGCCCAAAGTCCAGCCCAAAGAGAGTTCCCATCTCCCACAGAAACCACTGCTCTGAAGGCTTGAAAACAGCTTGTTTGTAGTCCAGCCCTTCACTTCCTTTACTTGTGACATCATAATGAAAATGCCTCATAAAGCTTGCGAAGCGGCTAGTGGGGTCAGGCACGACCCTAAACCAAGCTAGTCTTGGAGTGTTGGAATCCTTATCCTGGTGTTGGAATCCTAATCCTTAAATTGAGGACTCCTTAGAGTCTAACCAGTTCTGGGAGAAATGGAACAACCTAAACAAAACCCAGCAGGATGAATTGGCGATCCAAGATGGAAATACTTGGATTAATCACTTTAGTGAATTATACAGTAATATTACAAAAATTTATGATAAGTACAAGATATTCACAAAATGGAAAACTCTGGAGCCGGTGATAAAAAACAACCAAAATCATCTAGATTACCCTGTAACAGAACAAGAATTAACAGCCATCCAGTCCCTGAAAGGAAAGAAGGCTTGTGGTATTGATGGAATCCTCAACGAAATGATCAATACTCATACCATAAAATCAGATTGGCTATACAAAAACTATTCAATACTATTCTAACAACTGGAACTTTTCCAAACATCTGGAACAAAAGTTTAATAACCCCAATTCATAAATCCGGAGATAAATATGACCCAAATAACTACAGAGGAATATGTGTATCCAGTAACCTGGGAAAAATATTCTGCAACATCATTAATAAACGACTTGTCAACTTTCTTGATGACCACAATATTCTGCATAAATGCCAAATTGCCGCACAACGGACCATATATTTACCCTCCAGACTCTAATTGATCAAGAATTAAACATTAAGAAAATAAAGGTATATGCCTGTTTTGTTGACTTCCAAAAAGCCTTTGATTCCATCTGGCACGAGGGCCTTTTCTATAGGCTACTTGAAAGTGGCATTGGAGGAAAAACATATGATTTGATTAAGAACATGTATACAAAAAGTGAATGTGCCATAAAGATTGGAAACAAACAAACAGCGTTCTTCTCCCAGGGCCGGGGAGTGAGGCAGGGATGCAATCTCAGTCCAATTCTCTTCAATCTATATATCAATGAATTAGCAAACCAATTAGAGAGTTCCACGGCACCTGGCCTTCTCCTGAACGACACAGAGATCAGAGGTCTGCTGTATGCAGATGACTTAGTGTTGCTCTCACCTACTAAACAAGGTTTGCAGCAGCACCTTAACCTCCTGCAGAGATTCTGTCAGACCTGGGCCCTGACAGTAAACACAGCAAAGACTAAGATAATGATCTTTCAGAAACAATACAGAAATCAGGTTACACACAATTTCTATTTAGACACCACTAAATTACAACACACAAAAAACTACACTTACCTTGGCCTCAACATTACATACACAGGGAACTTCAACATGGCTGTGAAAGATCTGAGGGACAAATCAAGGAGAGCTTTCTATGCAATAAAAAGAAACATTAAAATATATAGTCCAATTGAAATCTGGCTTAAAATTTTCCAATTTGTACTAGAACCAATAATTCTATATGGTAGCAAAATGTGGGGGCCAAAACTTAATAATGAATTTGACAAATGGGACAAAACAATCATAGAATCTTTCCATACCGAGTTCTGTAAGAGCATCCTGCAGGTGCAGAGAAAAACACCAAATAACCTGTGCAGAGCAGAGCTCGGCCAATACCCCCTCTTACTAAAAATACAGAAAAGATCACTTAAATTTTACAATCACTTAAAATCAGTTAACCCCCAGAGATATCATCAGAAAGCCCTAACATACCAGGAGCTAAAACCAGAGAAGAGTCCCCTCAGCCAGCTGGTCCTGAGGCTCTCTGCAGTAACAAGGTCCCAACAGCCTCAGGACAGCAACGCCAACTCAAGCAGACCAAACCAAATTATCAGCAAGCAGAAAGAAAAATATATTGAATACTGGAAAGAAACAACCAAAACACAAAGTAAATTACAATGTTAACTGACCCTAAAAAGAGAATTCACACTGGCAAATTACCTGAGTACAATAAAATGTGCTAAACTAAGAAAAATGTTGACAACATACAGACTGAGTGAACACAGCCTGGCCATAGAAAAGGGTCGCCACAGACAGAGGTGGCTACCACAAGAGGAGAGACTCTGCTCCCAGTGTGACAGGGGACAGGTAGAGACAGAGCTGCACTTTCTAACCTCGTGCCCCAAATATAAAACACTAAGACAAAAACACTTTGAAAACATTTCCCAAATATACCCCGAATTCGAACTGATATCAGACACACAGAAACTGCCCTATTTACTGGGAGAAATGCCCAAATGTGAAATAATTGCTGCAAAATATGTCTCCTCATGCCATGAAGTGAGGACAAGCAATGGAACCTAAGACTGATAAAAAGTTTTTCAAATTATTATTATTTTGATTGTTTGATATTTTAGTAATTGTTTTGTTTTTACATTTGAAACAGATTTTTTAAAATTTATTTATTATTATTATTATTTTTTTATCAATTAATTATTTTTTTAATTTTTTGTCTATTAATATAGACACACACACACAAACACACACACGTTATTGTTTCATTTATTTATTTTATTTAAATTTTTTTATATATTTAAAAAATTTATAATTAAAAAAAATATTAATCTAAAAATATATTACATTTTTTTTTTTTTTTAATATATATATACAAATGGAACGCACCATAAAACCATAATGTAATGTGAAAACATGACAGACTGCTGATTGGTCAGAGAGAATATACACTATTCACTGCATCATCATTGTGTTCACAAGACAGAGGCCAGCAACAGTAAGTTTTATATTTTACAGTTTCATATGGAATTTCATCACTAAATCCACTTCTGAGAAGATTTGAGGTGGGAAATCGTGAGGCCGGCCAGCCGCCTGCTCACAGAGCCCTCTGCTCCCGCTGTCACGCAGACAGACCGCTGCAGCAACAACGGCAGAGGAAAACACAGCTGGAAGGTTTTCATACCGCTTATCTGTCTTTACATTCTGAGCAATGAGAAACGTTTTAACTTAAAAAAGAGACAGCTGTGTGGATCGCTGGTGTGTGTGTCGCATTGAACATTACGTCACGGCAGTTGTGTGAATAGACTGTATATAGGTTGTGTGTGGCGTCGCTATGACGACAAGCTACGTACTATCTCTGGGTACTATTTGCAATGGAAAATGGAGCAGGGCTGAGTAGAGTCAAGTCTATCAATTTGCGCTATGGTAGCATTTTTCGGCAAGGCAGCATAACGTTAGATCGTCAGAACACCTGCAACAGTTAAACGTTTAGTCCTAAAAGACGATTCAACTCCGACTCTGTTTCGGCCTGGAAATTCACAATCACAACCTGTAAGTATGCTTTATTGGTTGTGAATTATATTGATATTGAATTATATTGATTTGATTACTTGTTTGGTGAAAAGCCCAAGATACCGTCCTCAAATGTCTTGCATTGTCCACATCTCAAATATATTCAGTTTACTGTCATAGAGGAGTTAAGAAACCAGAAAATATTCACATTTAGGAAGCTGAAATCAGAGATTTTCTTTTCTAAAAAATCACAATAGTTACCAAATCATTTAATATTCGATAACTAATCAATTAATCAGTGCACCTCTACTGTTGCTGCAACGCAACATCATCCAGTAAGGGCCTGTCTTGGCCAATCATTGATAATGTTGTAGAGTGGTGTATAGTGAACAACCTTCTGTTGAACGTCAGCAAAACTAAGGAGCTGATAGTTGATTTCAGGAAAAAGGAGATAAAGACAGACACTCCTGTCTACATCAGAGGAGCTGACGTGGAACAAGTGAACAGTTTCAGGTTCCTGGGAATCAATATCACAGAGAACCTGACATGGTCATTTCACATCTCCACGCTGCTGAAGAAAGCTAAAAAACGCCTGTATTTCTTGAGGAAGCTTAAGAAGCCAAATTCCAGCACCAAGTTCTTGTCAGCTTTTACAGAGGAGCAATACGAAGCATCCTGACTAAAAACCATCTCTGACTTGTATAGGATGTGCACAACCAAGAGGGCTCTGCAGCAGGTGATTAAAACTGCTCAGAAGGTTGCTGGTGCCCATCTCCCGAGCATCAGTGATATCGGTGAGGTGAAGTGCCTACGCAGAGCCCAAAGGATACTAAAGGAGAGTACCCACCCCAGCCACAGCCTGTTCAGCCTGCTGCCTTCTGGAAAAAGAGTAGAGTAGAAAAGAATATAGAAGTTTCAGCTTCCGCACCATAAGACTGCAGAGCAGTTTTTCCCCCAAGCTATCACACTTTTAAGCTCAAATTCATTGTCAGTGCTGCTCCATTGAGTAGAGTTTATTTCTTTTTACCACTTTTATAATTTTATAAGCCAACTAGGCTGTGCAGTGAATAAATCTTACTCCCCAACGCCTTAAGAGACGTGCTAGTGCCCATGGATTTTAGTCTGCTCATTAGCGCGTTTGATTTCTCTAACCAAGGTTACCGGTTCGAGTCTGGACCACGTAGGACAACTCGGGTGATTAGCCCACATTACCATTAGATAACTTTGTTGTGTGAACGTTGTATTTCTAGTTTACCTTGCAATTGTCGTGATGAAAGATAAAATAGCTCCTGCCGTGATAACTTTCCAGAGTTGTAAATCCTCGTCTGTGAGTGTTATAAACCATTGTGCTGTGTTTGACATCTGAAAAGCCTTTAAACATTATATGTTACTCTAACAGGACTTCCTGGATTGTATTTCATGTCTTACCGATACATTTGTCAGCCAGCCTGTCCACAGAGAGAAGACAGTTTAGGGAAGTGTTAGTGTGTTAAATGGGTTCATACCAGCCAGATGCTCTCATTTGTCAAAACAGACAGACCAGTTTTTTGTGTGCTAGTGTGTTCTTCCCACAGGGCCTTGTGCTTTTCACAGTGGGGCTATATTAAGGTTATTGTAAGGTTGTCCTTGTTTCTGGTAGTTGTAGTCTCATCTCTCTGAGAAGAGGAGACAACATGTAGTGTTTTTACAAGAGTAGCTAACACTGAGAAATTTTAAAACCATTTACCGTTTGGACAAGCATCCTAATTTACAAATTGTGCTTATGTGGTCATTATACTGTAAGAGGAGGATGGGCAGAGGCTGTCTGCTTCTCCACTGAATGATTGGGAAAACGTGGTAACGCTGCTGTCACTGACACTTGAACAAGGAACTAAATCTTAGTCCAGCCTGCAATTTACATGCTTATCTAGCTTATCTATCTAAAACTAGATTTCTGGTGTTGGAACATCTGTTTCTGGAACACAGCAAGGATCCTCATTCAGCCTTGCCAGAGGGATTAATTTTGATAAAAATGGATGTAGTTATAACATCTTTCAGCCTACCTTATAGCAAATTGCTTTTACTCTTCCCTGAAGCCTCCAGACAAGCTGTTAAATTGCTTCTCAAAATTAACGTGATTATTTAACAATATAGATATTTATCTAAAAACCGAGAGTACCTTGTGGCAGAATGTGGCAGATGTAGCCGTCATTGACGTGCCTCAAGACTCGACTGTCAGTGGGATCGCTGCACTTTTTTATGTTATGCAGGAGCAGCAGCATGGCTGGCTGCACACTTTACAAAGTGTCTCAAAATGCATTTTTCAGTTTCACTTTCCCTTTGTTCCTCTTCACTCTCTGGACCTCTGGTTACCCTTTGCAGTTTGGGTAATTTTATGCTAGTTTTACTTTAGTATATGACCAGGCTTTTCATTCCCAGTGGATAACAGTCAAACAATTTTTACTAGAAACACAAACACAGAGATGAATAGTAACGCCAAACCAAAAGGAAAACTTAATACGCATTAATATGCAAGATTTACCTGGGAGAATGACTGAAAATAAAAATGTTACTTCAAGTAGATTAAGATACAGTACAGTATCAGTGTGAGTGTGTGTATATTGAATGTACGCTCACTATTAACAAAATGCTGAGGACATTCTGGTTTTCTGACTTTGAATCAATGACTGAAGTTTATTTTTTGAGGATATACATTTTATACAACACGCGATTCTTCTTTCATAATTTTAACAAATTGTAAATACACAACCACACACACTTAAACACACAAACCACTTGGGGATTCAAAATCTAAGAAGAGACACACATTTCCACTTCTTACTTTCAGCTGTGAATTTGCTGGATCATCTAGGTCAGTGGTTCTCAACCTTTTTTGGGCCAGCGCCCCCCTATCCATTATCCAGGTCCTTTACTGCCCCCCATCAAAAAAGATGTTTGCTATTTGCCCTGAATTGTTGATTTTTTTTTATTGTTACTAATGTTATTAAAAACATGGAAAATGTAACAAAAAACCCATGTGAAAAGTAATTATATTTAACTAATAAGTGGATTTTCCTCCCAGAAACTGTGTGTGAAACGAGATACTGTTTTCTTGGATGGTGCACTTAATAAGTGGGGAGTATGGGGGTCGTCCCCCAGAAAATTTTGAGCATTAAACACTTAATTTCCTGCATTCTGGTGAAAATTTCTCCTCCAATCTGCCTTTTCTGCACCAATTTATGGTGACAATGTCTAAAAATTCAGGTGGCAGGTGACAATTCAAAATATATTATTATAATAGATTATAATCTAGTGAGGTTCTCGGACATTCTTATTGCTTTTAAATATTTTTCTCCTGTAGATCAACTTATTTAATATCATCCCTGCTGAGTCAACACACATGATTAAGTCTTACCTCCTGTTTTGTGGGGAAGTAACCTATTTAAATGTGTTTGTGGCCCCTTTTCATCTCAGTAATAAATTAATCCGTTTTAATTCAGTTATTGACTGGACTTTATTAGCTCATCTGTTAATAACTTATATCATAACTCAGTGTTTCATACAGAATGACTTTGTAACTGTGGCGCAGATACAGCGTGCCTTGAAAACCCAGCTGTTTGTCTAACATTAACTTAGCTCTCCTAACATGCTTGCTAATAACTTACTAGCTGGGTCTCCAACATTGACAGCATTGTGTTGGACAGATTTGTGCAGCTGTGTTAAGGAGGGAGAGAGAGCGAGAGATCAAGGGACAGATGAGAGAGACGAGCGAGAGCATGTGCTGCGCGAATACGCGCTGCCTGCAGCTCAAATACGATTTTAAATAGGCCTAGTAAAAAAAATCGAAAATCAATATGTGGCGGGCCACCACAAATAAATGAACGTATGGGTAACACTGTAGCTTATGTGCTCAAGTTCAAAACCTTCTGCACATTCAGAATCTCTCCCACATATCTGAGTTCTCTGACATGTAAAGAAAAAAAAGTCGTAATGGGAGACTAACGTCATTAGCCTATTTAAGGAGAATTCATAATATTTTACTACATGCCCTTTATGCCATTATGTTACTGATTCTCTGGAAGTATCCCCTCGTCATCTAACAGGCAAAACTGAATGAGACGAGGAGGTGCTCATGCCGGGGGAAAAAGAAACTAACCGACAACACCTGTGATCAGACAGAAAGCTCACGAATAATTCCACATACATTAACTTCAGCAGCTCTGATAAAGTGCCGCTTACAATCCCTAACAGAGCAAGTCAGGTCTTCAGTTTTTAATGTTACATTTTTATAGCCTACTGAAACTACAGTATATGTCCGCTTTGGCACAAACTGTCTGCGACTCACAGCGTGAGGTGGGTCCTCATCACTCGCTGGTGTCGCAGCGAAGTTGCTTTCAGAATGAGTCCGATGGCGGAATATCCCTCTTGTAAATGTGTAACCACTGTGACAACAAGATGTTCACGGTGTATTCCTCAGAGAAATAAACACTTTTCCACCAAGAAACAGAGCGTCAATTTTCCAGAGTTTACCCAGTAATTGTGGATAATATTTTACAGATGATACTCTGACTTCCCGTTCCCCTGAAGACAGCACGAAGCTGCACCACAAGTAGCTGACGGAGAAAAAATACACAGTCTCCTCCAGTCGCAGTGGACTAAACTGGCAGGTTTTAATGTGACAGACCACAGTTTTTTGCAAGTAGTAGAAGTTTAAACGCTTATTGTTGTGAATCTTATGTGTAAACTCGCCTTAGAATTTCCAACGAACAAACGCCCCCCAAAAGCAGCTCAGCGCCCCCCCCTCCAAAATATTGCCTCCAGCGCCCCCCATCGTCCTCGGAACGCCCCCGTTGAGAAACACTAATCTAGATCATATGCTTACAGAAAAGACATTATAGGGTCTATTAAGGGTTTGCCATATGTTCAACTCCAAGGTAAGAAAAAGGACAAAAATGAGAGAGACATACTGATAAATGGATAAACAGATGCAGTGCGTTGAAAAAGGCAAACTTCTTTGAACCCATTCAGCTTCAATCTGCTGTTATCACTTATTATTTTTTTTAGCTTTATTATCCATATTTTGGATAATTAGAAACACTCAGAGCATTTTTTGTGTCATTTATTTCCTGTTAATATGATTGGATTTGTCTCATTGTTTTTTTTTTTAATTGGACCCAGCATGACATTTTGCAGTTCATTGACATTGTTTAAATCCGGCAGGAACCACAGTATTTTAGTTTAAAAGAGTTGCGTAATTTGTTCCTTAATGACTCCACTGTGAAATTGTTTCAACAGAACTTCACTTGGTTACATAAAACCAGCTTTTACACAGTTTTATATTGCCCATTGCCTGGTTTGTTCTTGTTTGGATTTGCAAAACAACTGCACTCACTTGCTGAAGACAAAGCCCTTTTCCATTATATTAAATATGAATTTGCCTGGATGCCTTATCTTACACCAAAAGAAAATTTATTTTTTTCTGTTTCTGTCCTTAGGATGAAAAGAACCAAGTGCTGATGACCAACGCCTGGCTGCAGCTGGTGAGTCAAAGTTTGAGAAGGACACATTATTATCAACTTAATGTGTTTTAATTACATTTATTATTTTATTACACAAGTGTCTTCTCAAGACTGTGACTGTGTTTCTCAAATTACTAGCACCACTACATTAAGTTCTTGTTGATGATATTGAATTTTAAACAAACACCTTCAGAGAGACGATTTATTTCCTGGATTCATTCTTTGTACTTGCCCACAGTTTAAAAGCAATATGTCTGTACTGTGTATCCTATCCAGCTCATATTAGTACGTGTTTGCTCATCCATCCAAGTATTTCTAAGCTATCTGCAATTATTTTTAGAGCTCACAGTTTCATCCAGTTATATACGTCATCCTCAATACTGGAACTCCAGTTGTTTGCTGGGAGTGAGAAATAGAGAGAGAGTGAGAGAGTGCTTTTGTATGCATCTACAATACTCAAGAAAAGTATCACTTCAGGCAGATTGTCAAGCAGAAAATGAGACAAGGGGAGGAAGAAGAAGAGTGAAGAAGAGTGCTGCAGATATAAGTGGCAGTCAACTTGAATGTTAATGGACATAATGGCAACAGGCAAAAAATTCCACAGACATATTCATGACCAATTCGAGCCCAATTAGTCTTTGCAACAGTTATAGACTTTTCAAGTATGACAAAGTTTTCTTGGCGCACAGCAGAAATCTTGACTTGATGATTTGGGAAGATGGGGTGGCACGAAATGAATAGACATGTTGTCAAGAAGCAGAGAGTAAAAACATCTCTCGCTCATTATCCAATAGTGGTGCCATTTTAAGGTGTTCCTGTCCAGGCTATTCTTAAAGCCATCAGTAATGTTGCAGGGTTAGAAACATGTTAATAGGAGTAACCTTTTCTTTCCTTTCCCTTTCATGATAACGTACGAATTGCCGTTTTATTTTGAAAGTAATAATACTGCAAGAATCCTTTTAGCCCTCGTTTTTATTTCCTTCCAGGCAAGATACAGCCCATCTTATTTCTAGGAAATGTGCCATTTTCTTGTAGAAGTTCAATTAGATAAGTCAAGTAGCCATTGCATATTATGGATTTTGCCGAGCATGAGTTATTGCACTCATTTAAAAAAAAAAAGTGACTTCATCCCAAAGTCTTTAGTGAAAATCTCTCTCCCTCTCCCTCTCTGTCTCTCTCTCTCTCTCTCTCTCCCTCTCCCTCTCTCTCTCTCTGTCTCTGTCTCTCAGTACTGGACAGACATTTACCTGAGCTGGAATCCAGAAAAATACCCTGGTGTCCAGAACCTGCGATTCCCTTCTGACCAGATCTGGACCCCTGACATACTCCTTTACAACAGGTCAGAGCTGCTTTCATCTTCTCATCAACACCTTCCTTAAAATGGCTATATGTTCCAATAACAATGTATCAAGTGAGAATGTGAAAACAATGTCACAATGTTAAGGAGGTCGCTGGTAGTGAGGAAACTGAATCTGCACCTCCCCTTGGCTTTACTGAGCTTTATAACGAGTTTCAGCTGTTCGGCTCACAACTTTACTGTTTTGGTCCATTCTCACCACTGTCATAACATCGTTTTCAGCCACAAGAGGCAGCTGTTTTACCCCCGTACACTACCTGCTCAGCACCAAACGGCAGACAGACACAGTTAGCGACTAGCTAGTGAACTGGAGCAGTTAGCAGCTAAAGAGCCAGATAATTCTCTCACGAGTTTTGTAGAGACCAAAAACAGAGCTGAAAGAGAGTGAATTTTGTGTTCACAACTGTTTCTGCTGTCCCCAAGTGGCAAATAAATCAGTTATTGCAAGTTTAAACATACAAATCTGTTACTGTTCATCAAATTAACGTTCGCCAGATGGCCAAAACACAACTCCAAATGAATGCTTTTAAAGGGAATCATATGTCAATGCTGTGTTCATCATCATCATCAACGTTTTTGCTGCTGCCCCCAGATGGCCAAAATTCATCATTTACTATTGCAATGTGCATTCAGACCAAATGCGAATTTAATCCTCGCAACGCTTTCCTCGCGGGGGTTTTACCGCTGGACAGCTGCTAAGTGTTCACACACAACGCGATAACGCAAATAAACACAACTCGCGATTACAACAGCTGTATGAACCAAAAGTAATTATTTGGCTGTGATTTAATAGCAATAAACGGATCAAAGTGATGCCGAAAAAACTACAATATGATGCAGTTTTGTTAAACATATGAATTCATGCTTTGTCAGGTCTGTCAGCAAGTCAGCAGGACAACAACTTTTAAAATGTTTGTTTTCTGAATGGAGATTGGATTGATCAGGGCTATGCTATGCTAACTTGTTCACAGTAAAGTACAACAATAGCTGGAATAAAGTAACAGACATATTTTCTGAACTCACCAGGTAGTTCAACTTCCTCGCTTTCTTTTCTCCTAGTAATGTAAAGTTTTGTCCGTTTTTTTATATAAATATGAAGTAGTATTCCAACAGAGCTCTGAGTGCCCACCGACGCTAACAACAACATTAGAACCGGATGTGCACGGAAGCTAGCTCGCAAGAAGCTCCAGTAAAGATAAATCACTGTTTTAATCCCAAAAACTGAAGTAAAAAGCTATTTTAATAAAATCAGTTTACTCCAAGCTCCACCTGTGAATAAACGGTGTAGTTGTCAGAGCATAATCCAGTCAGACTAAGGGTGTTTATTTGTCCAAAAGCTGCAGCGCTGCTCTGTCCCCGGCTTTTTCCTGACGTTTCGTAGCTCTCCGTCAGCCAGTAGAGTTTTACTTCTCCGCTCTGCCCGGTTCTCTTAACACAATGTTCTGAAGCCGTCAGTGAAGTCTGGATAATCACAACGCTGGGCTATCGTGACTCAGCGTCATGCGACTTTCTCGCCCAAGTTGAACATTTTCAAATTACGCGAAGACCTCCGTGTCGCTGGCAGCGTCCCCTCTGAACCACCCGACAGGAAATCGCGGCTCTCTGTGTTTTTGGTCTGAAAGCACTATATGTTTGAAAGCTTGTGACCTTTTAGTTTTCTTTTTAAATGTTGTCCTCTCTTTTGAGTTTAGTATAATTATTTTTTCCCCCTTGCTGTCAGACATGATAAAATAGGTGTTATAATCCACCATTTTCAGTTCTCTGCAGCAAATAAATACACCTGGGAGAGAGATGTTTTCTTACTATTTCTATTTTTGGTTTAACTGTGTTGGAGTGATTGAAATATCAGTATAATCCTTTTGATATGCCACTATATTATTACATTCTGCCTTTAATCTCTACAAACCAAAGTAGTATCAGTAGTATGTATTAAAAGAAAAATGGCTGTTTTTGTAAGAATAAAGGAGATAACTGCTGAGGTCAAAGTCCTTATTTTGATAAATGAGGTTGAACGTGGTCATTGCAATTTTTGATTCAGGTCAGGCTGCCGTTTGTTTATCCACTGTTCTTCACGCTTCTCTGCAAGGCTTCCTCAAGTCAATTAGAAATGTAGGCCAGTTGTTTTTCCCCAAAACAACTAATTGCATTGCGTTTGCATGCTTGAATAAGAGACGGATGATCGTGTCTGAGATTGAGGGCAAAGAATGACGAAGAGATACATAGATTCAATCACAAAGAGGAAGACGATGACACAGATACAATGTGTGGGCAATATTGTAAAACAAAAGATTTTGCTACAAAGTGAGGTTTAGATAGACAGACAGCTTTGCAATTGGTCCTCACTGATGTTATTGAGTAGATGTAGAGGTGCCTCAGATGTTTCTCTTCATGTCCATATTTCTCCCCAGTACACACAGACACACTCATGCACATCACAGGAAACACAAGGACAAAACAAAGGTTTGGGGGTATTAACCCAAATTTTAAAAGCTCAGCTTTTAGACCTGGAAGGATTACCCAACGTAATCTCCCTGTTCTCACCCTCTCTTTCCCCATCCCTGCCTTTTACCCTCTGCCTCCACTCCTCCCTAACTCCCTTCATCATCCATCCTGCCTTACCATCTCTCTTCTCATCTCATGCTATTTGTGTCTCCCTCCGTCTCTCTTTCATAACTCACTGTCTCACTATACAGTAATTCACTCTATTCAATCAAGTCTTTCTCTCCATATTTTATCGTTCCCAGCCTCCACCGACTCCTCTTTATAAATCATCCCATCTACCTGTCTCTGTCTGTCAAGGTGTCAGCATGTTACTCTCCCCCTCTTCTCACATTCTGCCTGTTTATCTCTAGTTCTAGTTTCTTGACTGCCTTCTCTTGTGTGTTACTCTGCTAACGGCTCAAATCTGTTCACACATGAAAACAACTTCTTATTTTCTAAATAATACGCATTGCCAAATATGTATTGAAGAAACAATAATTGCTGCCTGTGTTATGTTACACTTGCAATGTTTTAGGAAATGTATACTGCAAAGAAGTCATAGGGAGGAGTTCATAGTGGAAGGTTGGGTGTATAAAGCAGACATTTTGATACTAGACAGCATGGTTTGCATCCCACATGCCGCTAGGTTTAGACTTCAAAAGCACTTGGTAAAGTTGGTCGTTGTGGTTAAATACTAAACAAGACTAAGTGTTTATAGCCTTGCTAGCAGCTCTGTAGGGCTATAGTTAGCTAAATGCTAATGTCAGCATGTTTACATGCTCACAATATGTTGATTTTTATTAGGTGCAACGTTTACCATGTTTACCATCTTACTTGTTGTGTTTTAGCATGCTAACATTTGCTATTTAGCACTGAACATAGAGTACATGTATGGCTGATGGAAATATCATTCATTTGGCAGGAATTTGGTCATAAACCAAAGTATTGGACAAATATATTTTTTGTCTAACTAACTATGAAAGTAGCTGAATGATTACAGTTCATCCTGAGTAGAGCCATTACTATCTGTACAACGTGTTAGGCTAATCCATTTGGCAGATAATGAGATATTCCGCTGCTTGTGGTGCGAGGGGAAAAATCACCCTTCATTCATTAGGATTCTTTATCTGGAGAGCGTGAATGTCTGACTCAATTTCTTTTAGAAGACAGGGTTGTAAACAAACATGTTAAAAAACAGCAATGCATGTCTCCCTCAGTTTGGGTAATTGAAACACGTTGCTGGTTTTCAGCCTAAGTCTATTGCTTACCTCGTTGATGTTGGAGAAGATGAACAGTAAAGTTAAGCTGAAGGGGAAGATTCAGTTTACAGCTGAGCTAGAAGGTTTACATGCCTCACGAGGAAAGATGGAAATTTACAGTTTTCAGCAATAATATGGATCACTGCTGGAAACACACATAATTATGCCACATACAGTACCTCTAAGCTCTCATGACTACACAGTAAATATCTGTACTCACACAATCACACAGGTTGCAAACAGATACATAAAAATAACTAGTAAATAATAGTATACAGGCAACACCTCTTCACCAGCCCACCACATGCACATACATATAATCTGTCAGACAATTATATACAGTAATTGTACAGCACACTCCGTTAAACAGTGGGCCATCAGTGCACAGCCAATAATACGCTTGTCTTACTGAGTTGAATAGCAGATGCAGGCTTATTAGTATGCTGCTCAGATGAGAGCTTGCCATAAATCCATTCATTCATTTCTATTGTTTTAATATGAAGTTAATGATGTTTAGTGCTGAGGTCAGATGCCATCTCAATATGCAATATGTTTAAAGAGAAGAAGAGTGAGATAAAAAAGATACTGTCTGTGATGAGTCTTTCAGTGTCATATTATCCCAATGTGAAAACTCTTACATCGCTCTCACATTTTCAGATCATTGCACTCATGCTGTCTGATGACACATGGATAATCTATACTGTGAGTTGTGGATTTACCATCCATTCCACATCCATGAATATTGCCTGGGGAAAATATTTTATTATTCATCATATATGCAAAGGTTTTGTACTGTGCACAAATTGGTGTGAGTGTATGATTGTGTTTGCATAAAGAATATCCAGATCTCAAACAGCTGTGGAAGCCACTGACCTTCTCTCTCGTTAGAGGGAAAAGTCAATGGTCTCACTTGACTGGGAATCGATGAGGCACATGAAGGACATCCAACTCAGGTAAACCACAGAGAGAATCCTAATTCTGCCAGCGGGGAAGGTAGATGTACGGCACAGAACAAGTTTTATAACAAGCCATATAGATGAAGGGGGAATTAATCGAATAAATGGATAGTTGGAGGGATCTAAAATTTTTTTTAGATCACTTGATGGTGGAATAAAGGGACAAATAGGCGGATTTTATGACTTTTCTGTGATTACCTTAATGAATAATCACTCTGGAAATAAAACAAAATATGCATATGTCATTATGTGCGGGTGTGGAACATGGTTTGTAAAGACCCCATGA